CTATCATTGCGCTCCAAAGTAGCGAAACAAGGCATTTTCTATTTTCGAGGTTTTACGCCATTTTCGCTTTGTACGGGGACACGATCATAACGTACAAAGCGAAAATGGCAGACTGAGCGCAAGTATGTAGTACTCCGCGTACTGTTGGCACACGTGCCACACAAACTAAGCATTTCTACTGTTTTATTGTTCTGTGGAAGTTTACGTATAGTCCTAGAAGCGGGTTGACTTGGACGAGGTTCTGCTGTAGGTGGCGGCGACGGAGCAGAAGACTATAATAGAGGAGCGCCAGCGTGAGTTAGCCCGCAGCGCAACCAACGCGTGGACGCCGAGGTTCTTCCACAAGGACTCCAGTACGATGCCGCCAGAAGGTAAGTCATTGACCTTAATTGCACTCTTTGCAGTATTGCCACAAAATTTACAGACGGAAGAAAAAAACAATGCAAGTGTTAACACTTACATTTTATTTCATTATTTAACTGCCTCTGTGGCCGAACGGTTACCATGCCGGACTGCCACGCAGAGGTCCCAGGTTCGATTCCCGGGCCGGGAGAAATATTTGTATGACCTACATTTGTTTCTCTCGTGAGTTTGGGTGTAATTTGTGGTTGTCTATATGTGTGTCCATGGCACCCGCGACACAGGGTTTCCCTAGTGCGGGGCTATGTTGAGTGTGTGTGTTATTATTATTATTATATAATGATGGGACGAACAAGTCGTGCGCCTGATGGTGAGGTACACGCCTGTCCATACCAGTTGCAGTGTCACTCAGAGGTTTAAATCGCAAAGGTCTGAGAGGCATTGCCGCTGCGCCCTGCGACATAAGTTGACAAGTCCCATGTGCCTGTAATTTCACCAAAACTCTTAACCTTTGAAAACCGGAACGCAGTAAATATCAGGTAAGTTTTTTGTACTCAATTTTGTTGACAATTTTTATCATTTAATTACTCGAATATATGTGAAAATAATAAAGAACATTTCGAGTTAGTTTCGTGAAATATTAAAGAATATTTCAGGTTACCACACGCGAATATTAAATAATACTTCAAGATGATATTCTATAAACATTTAAATAAAAAGAAATTGTCACCAAAATTGAGTACAAAAAACTTACCTGAAAATTACCCAACGCATTACTGCTTGGCGGCAGAAATGGTAAGGACGAAATATTTCACTGCTACTAAAAATTTATATATTATTCGAAAGTACAGTTTTTCTTTTCAGCAGAATTATTATTTGGACAGGTTTGTTATAATTTATTAATACAAAGATCGAACAGTTAGAAAAAAATTCTTCGGTCCATCTGGACGACGAAAGCAAACGAGATACCAACTAAGCCACGGAACGAATCAGCGGACGTTACGAATTTTTATTATAATTTCAATTTGAATATGAAATTGACCTAAAAATCCATTCGTGTTAAAAAAATTAGTGTGAAAACCTAATTTTTCAGTAATTAGCAAAAACGTGCTGGCTTATTTTTGATGTGTACGTGTTAGTTTTGTCGGTATATCCTATATTTCGACCCCTCCTACGTAAAGTATCGTATGTCGAAATTGCCAAGTTTACAGGGGAGCGTTTTAAAGTTTTCAATTCACTGAAATGAGCAACTTCTCAGTTTTATTCGGCAAAGCCCGTTACTCACATAGAGTGATCATCTAATAGATCGTCATAGAGCATCTAAGTTATCTACGATTTTATAATACTCTAAGTAACAGCTTTGCCGAATAAAACTGAGAAATGCTAAAGTCACGTGTTATACTTATTTCATTGGCAAAATCGACATACAATACTTTACGTAGGAGGAGTTGATTTATTTTTCAATAACTAATTTTAACTCAGGTTACTTGACAGTTACCCTCGGTTCTCGGCAATTGCATTGAATTTTTCGGATTCTTTATTATTTCCCCATTAATGAATGAATAAAATAAGAACAGATGGTGAAATTTTGACACAGATCCGACGTCGACAAGTGCCCGATTGCGACTGACGGGGCAACGGGCGGCGCGGCGTATCGTTAAACTACTGGGCATTTTGCAATATTTGGAATAAATGTGAATTTAACAACTAATAGAGTTCCAGTAGAAAACCAAAGTTTACCAAGTTCTTTCTCTGTACCACTTAAAGAGAGAAATATGTCCATATAAAAATTATGTGTGAAGTTATTAGTTTATTATCGAGTTCTTAAGTTTTCGCGATTGTTACATATAGGAAATGAAACTATTTTTCCGAATTTAAATCGCGTATATTTGTTTTTTCAAACAAACCGACGTTTCGGGCCCTTTACAGGTCCCATTGTCACAGTTCACTGAGATGGTACAGTCATCAACCAGTTATGTCTAATATTAATGCAAACCACTCTATTTTTTCATTACACTTTCGAAAGTTATTAATTAAATACCTCATTTTTAATTTTACAAAGAAACATTCCAATTTCCGCTACATTACGTTTTACAAATTATTTTATTAAATGAATTTTTATTAATTTCAATTTATTATTAATTAATAATAGAAATTAGAATAAACTAAAACATATTAATTAGTACTGCAGTCTTATGTCTGTTTGGGATTTTTCATCAGAGGAAATAATGGATCCCAAACTGGTGGTACGGAGACACCGTCTTCCCTGTTGAAATTAGGATGTTTTTTAATTTCAACGACCTCTCGCAGCATCCTGGGTAGATAACGGACTTCTTTAGTAAGGACCTGGGGCTAGTCAAACTTCATTGAATGTGTAGGTTTATCCATGACATGCTCGCAGACTGTAGACTTGTTTACGCGACAGTTTTTGACATCAGCTATGTGTTCTTTGACGCGGGTACAAATACTTCGCTTCGTTTGTCCAATATAAGAGAGACCGCACTCACAGTCAAGCTTGTAAACTCCTGCATCCTGTAACGGGACGTTACATTTCACGGGTCTCGGGGACTGAGAAATCCTCCTCAGGGTTTGAAATAGGTCTTGATAGATGCACGCCTGAGGACTCTTCCGATCTTGCCTGTAACACCTCTCACGTAAGGTAAAATGGCAGGTCTTCCAAATATAAGCGATTTAAATCCGGAAAAATAGTTTCATTTCATATTTATTCTTAAATAATTCGTTTTAGACAATTATTTAGATTGTTTTTAGGATTTTATATGATCGGATAAAGTACATCCTTGCAGGGCGTCACATGTATACCATTAATTAATGTTCCATCTTAAATTTGTAATGTGATATGCAATAAACAATTGAAATTGAAATTCTATCGTGTAACACATAAGTACTTTCTTTAGACAATATCCTTAAGTGTATCGTATATCTTTTTTTGTAAAACAGTTATTTAACAATAAATACTAAACCATAAAAACAGTTTTACCCACTTTTCCTCCAGTCACATGCCGCAAAAATTTACTCTTGTAACGCCTTTATATCATACTGTATTACAAAGAAATATATTTAAAATTTTTATTGAATTGATATTCAATTATTTTTATGTGAAATTACTCCACTACTTTGAAATTTTTTTTTTCAGTATTTATATTATGTTTAATAAAAATTTAAAATACAATGAATAGCGACATCTCTAGCCGGGGCTGGTAGCTGTAAAGGTATCTAACTGAGCGATGAAATATCATAGATTTCTCATAGATGGCGCAATACCATACGACCCAAGCACATAGAAAAATTCGTGAAGTCGGGTTGTTCGTTCCGTGGCTTAGTTGGTATAGCGTCTGGCACGGTATGCTAGAAGACGTCGATTCGAATCCGGCCGGATCGAAGGAATTTTTTTCTGAGTTTTCGATCTTTGTATTAATAATTGTAACAAAGAAATATATTGTTTGGTAAAATTTACACATTTTCGTCTTTACAGGATTGATCGATCACGGTTGGAGATATAACTACGTGAATACCGAGTAAGTAATCTATCTATCTAAATACAGGGTGGAAAACAATTAATGGGACATGAAGGGAAACTACCGTAAATGTTTAAGACATGTGATTTTTTGACGTTTTTTAAACGACTTCAAAAAAAGAAGGAGGTTCTGAATTCGACTGTATTTTTTTTTCTTGTATGTATGTTACGCGGGAGTCATCTGCTAGTGAAATTACAGGGACATGGGACTTGTCAACTTACGTCTGAGTTCACAGTGATAGTGCTTCTCAGATCTTTGCAGTGCAGTTGTTATAGACAGACATGTAGCTTACCATCAAAAAAGTAAAAGAATGGACACTCCGCCCCTCCCTACATTTATTTACCGCACCACGCGCCGCACATTGGCTGAACGACAACAAGGCTGTCGGCGAGCCGTTTTCGCATCAAGACGGCTTTGATATTTGAATATAGTTTTCATTTATTCATCACGAAACTTGTACGTCAATATATAAATAATATCATTGTACGTTACTATTTATAATTCTCGTGAGTTGTGCTGTGTACGGCTGTTTATTATAAGAAGATGACAAAAATTATGTCTGTGACTCATTCAGTTATTGTTTTCTTCGTTTTTTTAGTGCAGAGTAATGTGTAATACAGATTTATTATATTAATATAATGAGACGCCATAACTTCGTGAGCTGTTAGACAAGGGTTCTCGAATTTTCAATTTGTATAGCCCGATAAATATTACGTAGTGAATGTACCTAATTATTAACTAGGTAATGATCAACTTGGAAACGTAATTTCAAATACCTTGGTTACGTTATTTAAAACCTGTCCAAAATACAATCTTTTTGAGTGCTGTTAATATATTTTTTAAATAAATCTTCAATATCGTTCTAGTTAGAGAATTAATAAAAAATATAATATTATATCCATATAAATGCCTAATGAACATGTGTAATTATTAGGATTCTATTGATAGAATTAAAGATAACAAATCCCGTTAGAATTTTCGCTATATTGCCGCTCTGACCACGTAACGTAAATTGTTAACTGTCACTTCACGCACACATTTGCGCGTGTGCAGATAGCACCTTGCTGTATGTAGTAGGCAAATAACTTTCGACCGTTGTATGGAGTGTCAGGGGTGTGCATCAGACGCGCGACTTGTCTGTCCCGTCACTTGACGCTTACACTCGCTTCACTCTTGTTCTTTCTTTTATTTTGCTTCCTGGTCTCTCTGCATTAATGTACTAATATTATTCTACCAGAGCATGGCAGTCTACCGAAGTGTACGAGTACGAAGAAGACTTCGTGATCCGATCATTGTCGGGGCCGAGCATAAGCCGGATCAGCGAGGTAGGATCGAGGCACTCCAAGTTGAACTTAAAACCTTGCAAACTGCAAATCAAGCTCTCCGACTCGGAAAGCCACGACGATGTGGCAAGACGCTCGAAAACTTCAAGGTATGTAATTACTTACACAATATAACCAGAATTAGAGACGAAATATGAACCAACCATCAGGCAAATGGGCCTTATAACACTTTTAAATATCAACTCTCCTTTGCGCTGAAATCACAAATTAGAAAGCTGAAATAATACAGTACTTAAATACTTTCATAGATTTCTCATAGATGGCGCTACGGCTAAAAAGGTCGTTGAAAACCAAATACCAAGATCCGACAACAAGCACATAGAAAAATTCGTGTGGTCCGCCGGTTCGTTTCGTGGCTTAGTTGGCATAGCGTCGGTTCGAATTCCGCTGGATCGAAGGATTTTTTTCCAAGTGTTCGATCTTTGTATTAATAATTATAACAAACTAGTAATTTCACAAAAAATAATTGAATATCAATTCATTAAAATAATTAATAAAAAAATTTCATTACCATTTGACACTTTTTTCAATCAACTTGTTTGTTTGTTACAACCAGAGATGGGCAGTGGATTAAAATCCAATCAACCCGCCCGAGTTTTAATCAATTTCTGCCCAAAATCGTGGGCATATCTATTTTTTTTATTATCGTTCAAAATTTAAATTTACATTCTTTTTTGTAACCGTTCATTTCGTATACATATATTATAATTCTTTCTTAGGTAACTCAGGAACTAGGGTATCGAACCCTGTTTACGTTCATGTGTTGTATCAATGTTATTTCCTTAATTTTTCTGCGGAAGCCCGACACAGAAATATGATGTGTACCTTATTATTATTCTTCTTTTGTTTTCCACAGCCGCACCCTGAAACAGTCCTTGCACGCAATCGATGCTTCCCTTCGCGAGCAAACAATCGCTATTGAGCGACTCTCGAAGACAGTCGAATCCCTCAGCGAAGGGCAGCGAACCGCCACTCAATTACAACCACGGAGTATGGGTATGATTGCCTTTTTATTTATTTTTAGAAATAATAGACACGGTTGGCCACAATCTCACCTAATATTAGGCGACGATGTGACCGACGATGGCACACGTTTGCCTAAAGAATACCTATTCACTCTAGCCTTGAATAGCCCCAAATTGTACTTTTCGGGAAACCCAGATGTGGTGTTTGCCTAAAAAATACCATTCACTCTATCCTTAAATAGCCCCAAATTGTACTTTTCGGGCGACATAGAAGGCGAAAGTTTACCTAAAAAATACCGTTCAGTCTAGCCTTGAATAGCCCCAAATTGTACTTTTTGGGAAATACACAAGCCGGTAGAGTACTCTATTCCTTTGCCGTACGCATCAGAAAGGTGCGTGTGAGTGGTATATCTATGACATAAGGATGGAGTGTTCCGGACCGTCTAGTCGACCGAAGGAGGAACGGTGAGTGTGGAACTAAATTGAAAAGTTCCTGCGCACATTCCCCGAAATGTATCCGGTTTAATTTTATACTAGCTGTAGTAGCTTATCGTTTGATCCAGGGTTGTTGCTGATGTGAGTTTTTTACTAAATTTATTAATTTATTTATTTTTATTTTTTACTGAATCTATCTACATGAAAAATATTTGATCAATGATTTTGTGACATTTATTAACTAAAGAATCAGTCTGGATGAAAACAATAAATCTACCTAGCTCATCGAGAATAACCAGAAATAGAGACGAAATCTCATTTAATTTGTTTGAAAACTATTCTGCCAAATCACTACGGTGACAACTGCGCTCCGATTGGCCAACCCGAATTCGCGACAATTGACGAGTGTCGTCAATTCGACCAGCCGAACTGCCTCCGTGACCGAACGTTTACCATGCCGGACTGCCACGCAGAGGTCTCAGGTTCGATTCCCGGGTCGGGAGCAACATTTGTATGGCCTACATTTATTTCTCTCGTGGGTGTAATTTGTGGTTTTCTATGCGTGTCCTTGGCACGTGAAACAGGGTTTCCGTAGTGCGGGGCTATGTTGAGTGTGTTATTATTATTAGTTTAACTTGAGCTTTGCTATAATGGACGCAAATTGAAAAATTACATATATAATTACCGATGAAATGTGATTCCGTTTGTAATAGATGTTTTGCTGTTTTTCCCACACCACCGTATGAAACAGCCCTCCGTAGTTAGATATATTATTATCTTTATTACAATAAATACAGAATATTTTTGGAATATACGGAGACGTACTGTAACCTAGGGCGTAGCTGGTGGTACTTTATTAATATTAACTGGGATTAACTTCAAAACTAGATATTTATTGTATTTTATTACATATTTACTTTTTGAGGCTACTTCTAGATCTGCCAAGATGTTCTTTTTTCTCCTATTTTTTAAACACATTCTAAATACAAAACTATATTCACTCAGCCAGTAGTTCTACTCATAGAGTAGAGCCTAGACTACATCCCTCTTCCTCACAACTGAAGGGGTGAACATCCCTAGCTGGTGCCCTACTTACGATAGGCAACTTACATAAGTGATCAGCCTTTACTATAGGCTAGCCACACACTGCTCGGAAGCTACTACCTTACCAACAAGTAAACCACCGAGGAGGCTATTGATTTAGTCTGTCAAAAACCTATCTAAAAGGACAGACCATGTCCACATCCTAATCAAACAATTCAAAATATAATTATTCGTCAGCTATCCTAGCTATTTAGGTAACCTGTCTAAATCCTAACTCCTTATTTCAGCTACTTCTAGCTCTGCCAAGATGTTCTATTCCCTCCTATTTTTTAAACACATTCTAAATACAAAACTATATTCACTCAGCCAGTAGTTCTACTCATAGAGTAGAGCCTAGACTACAGTACACACAGGCCAGTTGTTGGCGCTGTACTATTTCAGCTTTCTAATTAGTGATTTCAGCGCAAACGAGAGTTGATACTTAAAAGTGTTGTAAGGCCCATTTGCCTGATGAGTGGCCAAGGATAGATGGCCTTTATTTCGTCTCTATTTCTGGATATATACTCGATGCGGAATAATTATTATTTAGCGTAAAGAGTAAACTTTGAGCTGGTGCACTTAACAACTGACACTAGTTAGCGACTCAGTATTTTTACGCGTGGTCTGATGCTTTATTACGACTACGCTAATATATATATTTTTTAAACACCCACATTTTGAAAATTGAGTTTTGAGCATTACCTTGTGAACGGGCCTCAGTGAGCGACGATACCACAAACACTCAGACCCGTGGCAATATAGAAAAATTAGTTTTTCTACATCGACCCGGTCGGGGATCGATCCCGGGACCTCAAGGAGGAATTAATTTTTTTATTTTTATTTTCAGGTATCATACCAGCCACAACTCACGGTTGGGACCTCTTTGGTGGATTCGTGTTAGCAATAGTCTTGCAAGCCTTACTTAATTGGATGTTCTATAATAAAGACTGATTGCCAGATAAAAAAACAATTGCCAGGTTGTAAATAATATTTGCCAGATTTAAAATATAAATAATATTTGCCAGATTTTACAAAGAATTATGAAAATTACGTGAAACATTTTAGAAATTAGTTTCTTTTTGTTATTCAGGTGAAAAATCCTAAATGGGCAAGCGTATTCTCTAGTGTAATATAAAAGCAAGCAAATTCTGTGGTAAATGTTTTCAGGGTAAGTGTGCCCCACGGGGTAAGTGTGTCCCGTGAAGTAAAACTATCCAATGGGGTAAATAAATGCGTTGTATGTCTAACAGTCATATTTCACAAGAATAGTAGTTTATAGGGCGTTCGAACTACATCGTTTTGTACATGTATGCTAGAGTAACTTTCGTTTATACAATAAAAGATCGCTATTGTCATGTCCTCCCAAGACCCAGCAAAAACGCAATAGGGAAATCGCTGACGACTCGCCACTGTACATTAAAATGTACTAACGTATTTTCGGAATCATTTCACGTATTATGTACCTACATTTTGATGTATACAGGGTTTCAGGAAGTTAAAAAACTCTTAAGGAAAGCCAGTGCGTGGGACACATTTACCCCAAGACGTTTGGGACACACTAAAAGACACAATTACCCCAAATGTGATTTTAACTGGGTCTAAATTACTTCGCGTATTATGTACATTTTGATGTACACGTCATCTTGGGACGTTCAGAAGCTCTTAGGGGTCAAATCACACTGAAAGGTCAGCGGTCGGAGGGGAAATTTTGTTGCAAAGTATTCCTTAGCTTTTTGAATCTTAACTTCTAAATAAAAAAGTTCAAATTGATTTGAAGTGATAAAATGTACTATAGACCGGCACCGCGAGCAGCCGCATGGACTTGTAGCTACTAATTCAAAGAGGGACCATGGTAGGTCCACCGACCGCTGCGCGCCTCTGCTCTTTCAATGTGACTAGACCCTAACAGGCAAATGCGTGGGGCACATTTACCCCAAGACGTTGAGGACACGTAAGAAGATATGATTACCTCAAACGTACTAAGAGGTAAATAAAATTACTATGGGGTAAAAATCTCTATATGATATACTTGTCCCAAAAGTAGAACATACTCGTTTAGCAATAGAAGGGATATTTCAAATCATTTTCCACGAAACTAATATTGTAAATTGTGTACGATATTGATTTAACTTCCATTAATTTATTACTTTTAATTTTACTCCGGAATTCTATTTAGTCAAGTTAAATTATAAATGACAATTCTGTCAATTGATCTACCCAAACGCTGAAGAATTAGTTCCTTTGCACTTTCAACAACAATCAACTTGATACTTTGACGAAGAAAGGGTGTTAAATTTTATCAAAATAATAATAATAATATTTTTCTTTTTAATTTAATAAATCGACTCATCCGAAGAACAGAGTCCGATGTGATTATATAGCGAAAAGAGAATAAGTACGTTACGAGAACAATTTCGTTATTCAAACTAGGTCCTATGTAAAGGTATTTTGAAAATTTATATATCTTACTTCGTTTCGGCAATATAAAATCGAACAAAGGTCGATCTGACATCCACAGCGAAGAAGAACAAACGAAATGTACTATGTCCTGAGACCAAGTAGTCTTACACATAGACCTTTGTTCTACGGATGTGTCGAAATGCCATAGATTTCTCACAGATGGCGCTAAGGTAAAAAAAATTTAAAACCAAAAACAAAAATCTGCAACAAGGACATAGGCAAAGCTCGTTACTTTAAAACTCTTTCTCGAATAAAACTGAGAAGTGCTAAAGTCACGTGTTATGCTCATATCAGTGAATTTAGAACTTTAAAACGCTCCCCTGTAAACTTGGCAATTTCGACATACGATACTTTATGTAGGAAGGGTCGATATATTGCCTTTGCCACGTATATACAGTGCTTCTATTTTAAGGCATACTTCGTGTTTCGGCTGTTGTCGGGTTTTATTCAGTTGCGCTTTGCCTTTCGTACAGACCGTACGCCTTCAGTCGACTTGGAAGTATAAAGAGTTGCTTTTACACTTTTTATAAATAAAAAGTCGCTAAAGTCACAGGCACGACTGATAATTTACAGCGTGTACTTGTATTTTTTACTAGAAGCCGATACGTTCAAGAAAGAATGCGATAAAAACATTGACTTACAAATAAATGGACGACGGGTCTAATACAAAAACCACGAAAAAAAAATGTCCCAAGTCAACCTATTTAAACGTAGTGACATGTAAAGGAATATGAAAAAGCTAAAACGTTGAATTTAAAGTGTAATGTCATCGCAGTACTGTCTAATTTTGCTTGCTTCGCTGTCAGTCGAACAAACGAAGACTAAAGCGTGAATGACGCTCTGTATACGATTTTAACGCCCTATAAGTTCGGACACTTTTTAGCGCGGACCCGACGTTTTTATAATTGTAAGTCAATGTATAAAAAAGATAAATCTTTTCCTTTCCTTATAATAAATATACAGCTCTATATAGTTCACACGGAAGTCGAAACAAAACAAGAATAAAGTACGTCGTTCAGTATTGAAATTAAGATTTTAAATCTAATAATAAACGGGCATAGAAATTAATATTCGTGTGCATTCGGAAATCCGATGATTGCCGAAGGACATTGAGTAAATGGAAGCACTGTACATTAGAAATATCTGTGTATTTGTTAGAACTCATTATCAATATTTCAAAACACGTTGCAATTACAGGCAAACTGAAGTAAAAATTTAACCTTTTAATTTCGGTGATCGGTAATTATAAAATGGAATAATTGGTGAAGTTAAAATATAAATACGGTTTAAGGGTTGAACTTTACAGATTCGTGTAGTCCACCGTTTATTATAAGTACTTTTTTTGCATGGGAAGGAAAGTGAAAGGCTGTTCTGTTATCTAAATCTTCCTCTGTCAGCTTTAGAACGCTGTGTGTATTGAATTTCATCAAAAATATTTGAACTTTCAATCAAAATCAGCCTTATTTCAAACAGATTAAGGTGCTCTTTTGAAATAAAAACTAAAATTAGATAAAAACAATTAAAAGTGTACCTTAAAATCTTTGTAAAACGGTGAATTTTCATGTAATGTTCAGTTTTTTTAATGGGAGTTCGTTTTCGAATCACATTTGATATTTAAAATTCAAAATAATAATACAAAAATCGAACACAGAAAAATTTTCTTCGACCCGGTGGGACTTGAACCCACTATCATGCTGCACCGTAACATTGCTCTTACCAACTGAGCCACAGGTCAAGTTACCCAGCTGACGAAATTCTCCTATCTGTTTTTGTTATAGATCTTTATGCTTTCGACATTCTGCGCCATGACCTACCACACTTTTCGTGTTTCACAATCACAGTGTCGTGTACCAGTATTCTGTTGACATAAGGCATACCAAAGTCTTATATTTAATTTCTAATAATTTCTCATACTTGCCAATTTAAATTTAAGATAAATAAAAAATGATAATAAAAAAAAAACAAATTACACTTATTAATTAATAAGTTACGTCCAAAAAGAGATTGTAAATGTAATATACCTAATTGGATTTTATTAAACTGCCATGTCTATTCTATGTGAATTTTTTCAAATCTAAATTCTAAACTAAATTAACGTATATCTTTTTAATGTATAATACATAGTAAAATAAAAAAAATATGGAACGGAATTTTTTCTTTTTTGTAAATTATGAGTGAGTATTCCACCTGATGGAAAATGACGATGAGGTCCACAATGTAACATGCTCACCTACATACTACCTGGAATATCTGAGAACAGCCTTTAAATTGGTATAGCCTTTGTCTAGTTCCCCTAAATTTAAATAATAATTTTATGTTTATTTAAGACTCCACTATGTTGACTGAATTAAATATTACTCATATTTCAAAAATATAAATAAATACCAATTTGTATTAAAATATCTTTTAAGTCGGCTTGGGTGTAATTGTAATTGTGGTTCAAAAATGACTGTGGGGTAATTGTGACTGTTTAAAATTACTGAAGAACAACGTCTCATTGACTATTTTATGGAACGAGGAATTGCTTTTTAATATATAGAAATTACTTGCTGATTCAATGCATAGAACATTAATGCTTAGTTGTTTTGCAATTTTCAATAGTCACATTTACACCATAGTCGAAGATTACTCCACAGTTTCAATTTACCCCATGATACTTGTACAAGTATAATACTTGCTTATATCGGAGTGATTATAATATAATGAAGGAAAGGATTTTGCGAAAATTTAAATTTGTTTGCGAAAATAAACGTATATAGATTATTACAGTTAATTTCGTTTGAAAACTTTGAACTTATTACCTAAACATGATAATAACCATGTTAATTCTGACTCCGTCTCTTGATTTAATTTGGCAAGTCTAAAACATTATATTAATTTCAAATTTAACAGCAAAATCGACACCGTCACCATTGATGTGTTTTGCAATTTTGCATTTTAGATGTACATTGTTTACAATCTCTTGAAAATATATTTTAACATATTATTATAGTAATCTGAATTCGAGCTTGCGTGATTGTGATTAGTATAATGCATAAGTAACGATTCTGCTCTTGCCATTACGCAATCTAAACAAAAACGTTGCAATTGAAGCACTGTACATTTTTTTATAAAGAAATTTGTGTTGATTTGTTATTTACACATCAATATTTCTCGACTTTGTTAAGCGCTATTAGAACCCGTTCGTTTTCAAATTGCATTGTGTGTGTACCTAATTTGTTGGCACCTTGTATATGTATTCCCTTCCATACGTAGCTTTTGCTACAAGTCTGAATTTATATTACGACAAATATTTTCACAAAAATTATACACCAAACATCGAACCACTTGCAATTGTTATGCTGCTATAATGCAACATGCGTAGCCAATAAAAATTAGATTTAAAATTGCAAATTTCAATTTGTCAGATTTTACTATTTTATCAATACAAATTAACAAATTTGCTTTGTATTCTGGCCATTTTGAGGATTTCCAAAGAGCCAATCTTTCTAATGACAATACTACAAGTGCGCCGCTGTTTCAGGGTCGAAAACAAATTGGTTAGCCTTTAGAATGTTACAGAAACTTCTCAATTGTTTTGCAAAAAATGTAAGCTACAATTTCGCGCGTTTGCACCTTTTAACTAACTTAAAAATCTAAAGTTTCGTATTTGAAGGAACATCATGTCTACAATTAATACACTTATATAATACCAGACCTCATACAGGGCTCTTTGTAAAATGCTAACAACCGCGCATGACTATAATATATTATTACTAAAATCATAAACAACAACTTTGTTCCACAACTTTTACCAGGATCAGCCCCCGTAGCATGGCACGCATGATAGTCGCGACGCGCGCGATAAAATCGGAATAAGCGCGCGCTATTGGCTGTCTCAGTCCGATCTAATTTAGATATTTTATCGCGCATTTTATGTTGCGACTATCATGAGTAGCCATGCTTCGGGGGCAGAATTCACTTTTGTATAAAAACGGTGATATCTCTGTGCGGTGACAAAAGAAAGCGTAAATACCAGTCGAATATAAAACGCAGGAGCGGATGTGGGATTCGTCGGGAAGGACGCTTGCGCGTTTAATTATACTGCCAAATATAGATCTAAAAAGTGTCAGATAGTGCAACAAAAAATTAGAAGGTTATTTTTGTTAAATCTATTTAGTTTTTTTTAATAATATCACATGACGGGACGAACAGGTCGTGCGCCTGATGGTTAACTAACACGCCTGTCCGTAACAGTTGCAGTGCCACTCAGAGCTTTAAATCGCAAAGATCTGAGGGGCACTGCCACTGCACCCGTCACCCTGAGGTATAAGTTGACAAGTCCCTTGTGCCTGTAATAATAATAATTCCCTGTATAAATATTTCCCTGGACGAAATCATTCACGAGAAGCTCTACTGTTATTAGTTGTTGTTTACAAATAACCTGGATATAATTTTCGACAAATCCGATGGTAGCCGATTATAGCCGATGTTTTTTTTCCTGTGTAATTTTATTGCTCACATAAGCCTATTTGATTTCCAATCCTTGCCACTTTTACACATTGTAATTATCAAAATTATTGACGTTATTTACTCTAATTAAACTACGAGATTTGAATTTATTTTATTTAGAAAAAAAACATTTCTTATTATCAACGGAATCGCGAGTTTTTTTGTGAAACTTTTTGGTGGATTTCTGTCTATTCTAATTATAATACCCTCCTTTATTGCATCGACGTATTTAGGTAAAAAGATGTGATGTTGCCATTCTTGTATAATTATTGTTTGTTCACATTTTTTTTTTAATGTAGATATTTTTAATTA